TTAGGTCTGATACTTGGTCACTATCCTATGGCCCTATATACCTACCTTGCATCCAACTGGTAACGCTGTAAATGATGCGATCGCCTGGGGAAGACGAAAATGCGGGGGAAATGCCGGTACGCCAAGTCCTATGGAGGTTGAAAGTTGAATATATAATGACAAGTCCGGCGCCTGGCCGCTTTATCATGTCGAGATGTGAGAAGGCTACGCTCTCACTGCGCCGCCTGCCTCAAAGTGTCTACTCCAGACCCTTCCCACCATGTTATCGGCTGGCTTTCATACGGCCCTCGGCATCTCAGTGCTTCTTTCATTTACTCGAGCCCAATTCCCGCCGACGCCAGAAAATGTCACCGTTCTTGAATCCAAATTCGGGGATGGAGTTACGATTAGCTATAAGGAGGTGAGCACAGAGTAACCTGGACGTAACGACTGCCAATTTTGTGTCCCAAGCCTAACATTTTCCAAAGCCGGGCATCTGTGAGACGACACCAGGTGTCAAGTCCTACGCGGGCTATGTCCATTTGCCGCCTGATTCCCTTGCCGACCTAGGAGAGGACCAGGAATATCCCATCAATACCTTCTTCTGGTTCTTCGAGGCTCGAAATAACCCCGAGCACGCGCCATTGTCGATATGGCTAAACGGCGGTCCCGGAAGCAGCTCCTTATATGGTCTCTTCACTGAAAATGGGCCTTGCTATGTGAATTCCGATTCCAACTCAACCAGATTGAGCCAATGGGCCTGGAATACGGACGGTGAGATACATGAACCTATCGTCTCGAGAAGACAGCCAATGCTAAAGGTACACCCGCTAATTCGCCCAAGTCAATATGCTATTCCTCGACCAGCCAACTCAGGTAGGCTTTTCATACGACGTTTTACAAAACGTGACTCTGGACCTCGTGACTGGCCGAGTCATTAAGCTCAACGAGTCTGATCCTATCCCGGAACAAAATACCACGCTCTTGGTAGGCACCTACCCCAGCCAAGACAGGAACCAAACCGCCAGAGGTACCCGCAATGCCGCTATTGCCATATGGCACTTTGCGCAGACCTGGTTCCAGGAGTTCCCGGGCTATCACCCCAATGACTCCAGGATTAGCATCGCTACAGAGTCTTATGGCGGCAGGTATGGTCCGGAGTTCGCAGCCTTTTTCGAAGAGCAGAACTTAAAGATTGAGAACGGTACTTGGAACGATGCGGATGGCGAAAACTACATCCTCAACCTCGATACACTCATCCTGATCAACTCATGTATAGATCGCCAAATCCAATGGCCAGCATACCCCCACATTGCATACAATAATACGTACGGGCTAGAAACGGTCAACCAGACCATCTACCAGGAGATGGTCGATGCTCTGGAGCGACCTGGCGGCTGCCGTGATAAAATCAACGATTGCCGCGCCCTGTCGGTGTTGTACGATCCAGACAACGTCGGAGTAAACGCCACCGTCAACAAGGTATGCTCGGATGCGGAAACGTTCTGCTCCAACTACGTTAGGGATCCGTACCTTGATTATTCTGGTCGCAATTATTACGACTACGCGTCCATCGACCCCAACCCCTTTCCGGCCCCGTTCTATAATCAATATCTCAACCAGCCTCATGTTCAAACCGCTCTCGGCGTCGCCATCAATTTCACCCAGTCCTCGAGCGCCGTCGCCTACGCTTTCCGAGCCATAGGTGACTACAATCGACCGGGATGGGTAGAGGACCTCGCATTCCTGCTCGAAAACGGGATCAAGGTTCACATGATCTACGGCGACCGCGACTACGCCTGCAACTGGATCGGAGGCGAGGCTGTCAGCCTGGCCGTCAATTATTCTAACACCGAAAAGTTCCACGCCGCCGGGTACACCGATATCGTGATCAACGACACATATGTTGGGGGACAAGTGAGGCAATTCGGCAACTTCTCCTTCTCGCGCGTGTACGAAGCCGGTCACGAAGTCCCTGCGTACCAGCCAGAAACGGCATATAAGCTGTTCCATCGTGCCCTATTCAACAAGGATATCGCGACAGGCACCGTCGACCTCATCGAAAATCCGGGATATTTCACTAACGGCCCGGCCGACACGTGGGCAATCAAGAACGAGGACCCGCCAGACTTGCTGCATTTTTGTTACATCTATGACACATCTACGTGCACTGAGGAGCAGATCGAAAGCGTGCTGAACGGCACTGCTGTCATTATCCATGGAATTATCAAGGACAAGAACTCCACGCAGTTATTCCCGGAGTTCTTTGGCAGCAACGGCAGCGGGAGCGGTAACCCTGCAAGTTCGTTGTCAGGTGCGCCGGCCGCGTCATCGACGGCTACTGGAGGAAGCTCTTCGGCAAGTGGAAGTAGTGCTGCAGCTCGATTTGGCGGAAGAGGCATTTACGTACAGAGTGTTGGTTTTTGGTCTCTGGCTTCGGTGCTAGTTCATGCTTTTTTGGCGCAATTCTGATAGGTGCCATGCAGACCTATACAACTTGGCGCTCCAAATCTTTGGATCTAATGGGATATAGGGCTAATTATATCCGCGTATTTGGTAGTACTCCGTAGTCAATAAGTCTGTCTACGAGTCTATGTGTGAGGCAGACTATGGGTTTGAGTTCAGGGCCGCTTCTCCTCATCTACGGAAATTCACAGCATCTAGACGTCCCTTGGTTGCTGGACTCTTATCAATGGTAGTCCACAACCCCGACCCCGAACTCAACCCTCTTTTTTCTATCACGCTCATAACGCGCCTAACTGTTTGAGCTTTTCTGCCTGTTGTACTAGTGGGCAGGCGCGCTTTGGGTCGTATTTCACTGTCTAGCTCCGGGGGAAATGCCTAACACGACGTCCCTATCCCCCAGTACCTCAGGAAGGGGCACCAAGGCTGAGTCCATTATCTCTTCTATATGCTGTCTCCAGACCTAAACCAAAGCCTCATGACAGAGACAGTTCTACCAAGCGCCCCTTTCCATGGTCCACGCCAGGAATATATCTCAAGAACGAGTGATGGATGATATTCTTATAGGCATGGCGGTTGCGTAGAAGAGCGACTCTTGTTGGCGCATTGGTTTCGGTTCGAACTGAATGTCTTGAACAGCGAAGTGGTGGGAAGCTATGAGCGTTGAGAAAACATGTCAGTGATTCCGGCTATTTGATGCGTGTGGTTGTGCAAATGCATACCGCATTCATCTCGAAACACCTGGAAAGTCTCGGCATTTCTGACGACGCCCGCTATTATGATCTTGAGTGTTGGTCTCATATCAAGGAGACTCTGTAGCGTTGATACGAGGGATGTGATGGCGACCTTATCGTATGTCTATGGTACGGGTTAGACAAAGTTCTCCCCTCTCAATGACTAGGTAGATACTGTAAACTTACAATATCGGCTCCAATCACGACATCATACGGATGAGCGGTGCAGTCGTCTGCGACCCAAGTCTCTTTCAAGTCAGTACCCCACATCAGACTTTCTGTTCTGACTTTGTGCTGGCCGTCAAGATTATTTAACGTAACGTTCTCCTTCAATGCTCTAATAACCCCTTCGTCTCCATCTGTCGCGGTGACGTGTTTTGCACTCAGATGTTTTGTTGAAAGTATAGTGAGAAATCCAGTGCCAGCGCCCAGCTCCAACACGTTTTTGCCCCTTACGAGACGCGAGCCAGCATCAGTTAGCAAATATGAACCCAGGTGAATAGACGCTTCCCATGTGCGAAACCCCGTTATCCGAGAGCCCGATACCAAGTGCCGCTGCTCGAGCAGTGTTATTGTAGGCTCTAACCCATCGTCGTCGGCTCCAACTAGGTTCTGCTTCTCTGGTATGCAGGTGAAAGTGACGTATGCCTTCTCCTGTGTCGCCCGAAACTCGGATGACACTTCACCACTCGTAAGAAACGCAAGGTGTTCCGCAAGCTCGCTCGAGACCTGATATTTTTAGATGGAATTAAGATTGTGGGAAATTCCATATACCGAACCTACGCCTTCTGGATGTTCTGTTGCCTTCTTAATTTTGGCGATGAGCTTCTTCAGGACGCGCATCTGATACTTTTCAGGCGGTAGCCTCGGATTTCGACTTGTGTCGAACATATGCCTGTAGAGCCACTTTTGTACGTCTATGTTCTTCAGGAAGTTGGGTGAGGGCCACGCGAGAAAATCAGGTTCGAAAAACTGCATATACTGCCGGCGCAGTAAAAGCAATTGAGGGTCCACGTCACGATTCAACATGCTGAGGAGGGCTGTGGGTGCACTTGGTAACGTTTAGTTGAAGTTGGTTAAAGGCAAAGGGCCTCTTCTCAGCCGAGCCAAAGGACAGAAGGACGAAGGCCCATAAAAGGCGCCATTAACTTCCACAAACTAACCCCTTTCGTCCATGTTTGCATGCAACTTGATAAATGATTCGCATATCGATAATACCCCTATCCTAGACAGAAGAAATCGCCGGCTCAATAAGGGGCTTAGTAAGGGGTAAGGAGGACGATTTTCAGTTGTAGGTACCTAAAGAGTGGGTGTGGAGGCACTCGAAGTTCTGATTCGAACTTCAATGATATTACACCTTTTCATCCTTCCACCCTTTTCACTTAAGTTTGCTTCGTTGAGAGTTGGGTTGATATGTGATCTTGATGATATCGTTGTGAGAGTGCCAATCTTTCGAATCCAATGGCCCTCATTGTTGAAGGGAGCAACCTTAGTACTGGCTTAGATTGGGATACATAGGTGTATTAGAATTGTAGGATTTCGAGACAGCACGCCTCCGTATCGCCAGGTCAATCAGGAGAGGGGGTATCGAGGAGCCTGCGAATTCTGGTAAACTTATTAGAGCACTGCACTTCTAGTTCCCGTCGTATGTTCTTTAGGACGCATGTGGCGATGACTTCGGCTTATAGGGCTAGTAAACCCGCCGCTAAGCCTACACACGGCGTCTAACACTAAAACTTGATGAATGTTTCTCTAGAGATATTATTTTCATCATGGGTCCATTGCACCGCAAGAACTAATGTCCTGTGATAGGGAAGCTAGAGATCTCGATTTGTCTAGTGTTTAGGATACCTGCTTGTCATCGTTTCTCTGGTCGACTGTATAGTCTCCAGAAAGATGAAGCCCGCAGGTAGCCGGGGTTCAATTCCCCGATCGAGAGAAACATGTCAGCTCATATTATTATTTTGAAGATTATCCTAAGCAAAATCATAGACTGAAGATGCTTGGGCATTATTTTTTTTAAGGTAGTTGACTTCCTGTCGGTATTTCCTTAGGAACAATGCTATCACTCAATGTAAGTACGTAACTAATTCAGAGTAATCATTGATTTATCAATGAGAGAAGAAAGTGATTAAAGATGAAAAGAGAATATATATCGACTCGTTGAGGTTATAACCTCCTCACGCATTATTACCATCCTTAGTATATCAGACAGCTCTTTATAAGTGCAAGCAAAGTACAATACCTTAGGGCGGTAGTCTGTCTACTTAGAAGTATCTTAGCTAGGAATAACCGATCCTATTATAGCTTGGAATATTTAGTCGTTCAAAAATTGACACCGAAGATTCAATCTTATAGGTTGGTGTCCAGAGATGTTTCATTCTGGCACGGGCATGGAACGATATGTCACATCGAGTAACCGATTTCGTACATGGCATTTCATGGCATTCCCCAAATAGTTGCACTCAGAGTCCAGGCTTTTCAGCCTGCAATGCGGTGTCACCACTCATGCCACCGGCACTGACCAGCATCAATGAGCTCACAGCTATGTAAGAGGGTCCGCTCGGAAGGAGGTTCTCCGAACGGTGTCGAGGGGATCAGATATTATCGAACTACCTACCTCGAAAGCCTTGAAGCATTATTAGAGATCTTAGCTCATGCTCGACTATGATTTTCAACCTAACTTGAATAATCCGATCTATGTTTTGACCTCTGCGTCAATGCAAATCGCATCGCCGCAGCGCCGACTACTCAGAAGAGATCGCACTAGTAGTAACTTCTCATGGCTCCAATAAGTCGACCGAAGGGCGCCGCGGCTCTCGTTGTCACCATCGTCGCCATAACAGCTCCTATTCTGTATCAGTTTGTACTTCCATATCTAATAAACCTACTACCGCATCTCTCTTCACTATCGCCCTCCATCATGAGGATATCCCGTAACGTTATTGACAACTCGCCCTCGCCGTTCACTTGCCTTCCCCATACCTACAAAACCGAGATCATCTCGCTCGACCCCCTTCTCATATACATTGACTCTTTTCTCGCCCCAGCCGAGATTACGGCGCTTATTGAAGCCGGCGAGCCCGAGTTCACTCCGTCTAGAGTCTACAAGCGCGGTCTGAACCAAGGATCCTCCGACCGCACCTCTTCATCCGCCGGCCTACCGCGCGATAACCCGGCCGTGCAGTGCGTGCTAGCTCGGGCCGAGAGCTTCCTCGGAACGATGCTGGACCATTCCCGGGACGACATCGGCCCACCCCAGCTGGTGCGCTATACGGCAGGTCAACGCTTTAACAGGCATCATGATTGGTACAAAACCCCACAGCCAGTACGAAGAGGCATGCTGGGCCGTGGGAAGACCTGGAACCGCATTGCCAGCTTCTTCGCTATCCTGCAGGATCAGTGCACAGGCGGCGAAACGTGGTTCCCCTTTGTGAATACGACTGTGCCCTCAAAGACGGACAAGAATCGGCGGCAACTCTGGAGGAAGCATGACGAAGGCGGCTTGGCGTTCAGGCCTGTTGCTGGCAATGCGCTCTTCGTAAGTGGTAACTCTACACCTCTACCCCCTTTCCCCTTTTCCCCTCTCTTTTCTCTAGTTAGGAATCGTCGCTCTCTGATCCAACAGATGCCTTGGGATTTTGAGCTGCATCTCTGAAATTCTTCCCTAGATTCTTGGTTGGAGGTATCGTTAACCTTCTATTGCAGTGGGTCAACCTATTCGCAAACGGCACAGGAGATGAGCGAACCAACCACGCTGGATTACCGTTGGACGATGGGTTGAAAACCGCGATGAATATCTGGCCGCGGAAGTTTTACGGATGAGACAATGAGTTGGAATGTTCAGAGGTAAATTTCATGCTGTTGGTGTCGTATCTCGAAGCTTACACGCAATCTGTAATGCCGCCTCAACGTGTTGGACTGGGTTAACTATATAGGTTGGAGACCTATGTAACCTGATTTGTGGACTGTCCTCTGGTAATAACATGACAGTGTTGGAGGAGGGGTGTTGTTGGGGACCAAAGTGATATAACAATAAGATGTCTTAGCTCCGAATGCAACCAAGACATCGACACTGTGAAGCTTGTCCGGGTCCAACGGGAGGAAATATCGCGAAGCTCATAGTTCTGTGGGCTACCCCTAGAACCTCGTAAACAATCTGCCTCTTTAATTGTTACCTTCCTTCTTTGGCCATGGGCACAAACCTCTCACGGGCATATCGTCATAGATAGCATTAAAACAGTCCTCCGGGTGCAAACGTGGATATGCGTAGATGAGTGTCCGTCTACCAACACTCCAGGTGCACGCGTCATATACATGCTCCATGGAGAAGTTCTCAAGCCGCATGTCACGTATGACCTGGATAAGTCGTGGCGTGAATCTGGAAGTGAGCGGCCCATTGTGGTGGCGTTTGAAGATTGCGTAAAAAAAGCGTTGCCGGGTAAAAGTCAAGTTTCCGCCAAGGCAATACTGATTAATGGTCTCGTCATGCGCATTTCTAGGCTTGGGGAAGCCTTCAGAGAAGTAACCGTCCCTCCCATTGAACGTTATCCAACGACCAATAGAGACCTTTACGCATAACCTTTTCACATTTGAAAAGGAGTCGAGCGAATCAAGTTAGCGCCCGCGCACCTTTAGGTTTAGTAGTACGACTAGAGCATAGATCTATCTTTATGGTTTCTTTTGCTTGGTTTTTGAAGTGGGACTACTTTATCTCAGCGAGCTCAGACCAGGGGTTTCGAAAATGTACCTCTTTAGCTATATCACTTTTTAACTAATTAGACCCCTGCTTTATAGGTTAAAAAGATTTTCGAAACTTTAGTTTAAGGCTAAATAACATAAATTTACCTTTTATAAAACAATAAAATTAATAAATTTAACGAATTTAATGAATTTAATGTGTTTAATGCGTTTAATACATTATATAATTAATTAAAATAAGTTAATTAATTATAATATTAAATTAAAATAACTAATAATTAATTTAAAACTATTTACATACGTTGCATACGTTTTATATTATTTGCTTATAAGGTAATAAGCACTTATATATTATAATTAATTAAAATATTAATTATTATATTAACTATTACTTATTATTACTTTTAATTAATTATTGAAATTAATAAAACATTTTATAAGCCGATTACTTATTTTTAAGATTTTTTTAAACAATTTTTTAATATATAGTTGTTAAGTTTTAACAGGTTTAAGGAAAAGTTTAAAGAAAAGTTTAAAAAAAAGTTTTAACGTTAAGATTAAAATATTACCTATTTAAACCATTTATTAACCATTACCACCTATTATTTTTAATTAATTATTTAAATAAATAAGGGGTTTTATAAGCCTTTTATTTATTTTTAAGATATTTTTCTAATATTATTTAATATATAGTTATTAAGTTTTAATAGGTTTAAAAAAAAGTTTTAAAAAGTTTTAAAGATAATTTAAAAATAGTTTTAGCTTGCTTAATTTTATTACCTTTTTAGCTAAAATATACCCGTATTAACCTTTTTAAATAGTTTAAAAAAATAAAAAGTTTTATAAGCTATATATTTAGCTTTAAAATGTTTTTTTAAAATAATTTAATATATTATTATAAAGTTATAGCTTATAACGGTTAAATATTAATTAAAATATAACTTATTTAACCTTTTTTTATATTATTTAAACTTAAACTAAAACTTTTTAAGTAATAAATATACACTTTATAAATACATTAAGCATAAGTTATACGTTATAGCTAAAGTAAATAAAGCTTACGTTACTTAAAAAGTTTAAGTTTAAGCTTATTAAAATAAAAATTACTTACTTATTATTAATAATAATATTAATTATTATTATTATTATTATTATTATTATTATTATTAATATTAACGCTTAAAAAATTATTATTTAAGTAGTTATTTTTAAACTTTTTATTTTATTTAAAGGGTATTTTACTTTAAAACTTTTAAAAATAATAAAAAAATTTAATTAAAAAATAAATAAGCTTATTTTTTTACGATTAGTTTAAAAAGCTTATTAATAATGTAATAAGCTTATTATTTACGGCAATAAAGCTATTATTTACAGCTAAACGAGATATTATTTTTTTTATTTAATTTATTAACTTTTTTTTCCTTTTATTAAATAATTTTTTAAATTTTTTAAAAAAGCTATAAAAATTTTAAAATATTAAAGGTATATTAAGCTAAGGTATATAATTTATAGTTATATATAATTAATTTATTTAATAACTTATATTATTTAATTATATTAAAAGTTTATAAATAATATATATTATTATTATATTTTTTATTATTATTAAGCTTTATTTATAAAAGTTTATTATTATTAATTATAGATTTTTTTTACCTTTATTTTTTTAAACTATACCTTTAATATTTTTACTTTTATGTTATTTTTTTATTAAACCTAATTAAAATACCTTTTATATTTACTTAATATTATTAAGTATATTATTAATATTAATAGTTTAAATAAATTATATATTTATTAATTAATACTTTTTATATTAAGTATAAAAATAAAATAAAGTAATTAACTTTTTTAAAGCTTTAAAAAGCCTTAAGGTTTTATTTACTATTAAATTTAAACTAGTTAGCTTTTTTTAAAAAACTAAAAAAAGCTTTTTAAGCGTTTAATTATTACGCTAAGTAAGCGTAATAATATTAATAAGCCGCTATAAAACTATTATATATAAAAGGTGCTGCATTTATTATTAATAAAAACGGCCTTTTTTAGTTTAATTTTAAATTAAGTTATTTCCTTAAGTTGCGACATTTTATTATTAAAAAACCATAATTACTATAATACAATTATAATGCGTTAATTTTACTAAAAAGGTATAATAATTATAACGAAGTTATTAACGAAAAGTATAAGTTTATACCTGCTTTTTTATTATAATAAATATATTTTAAAAAAACTTTATTA